GTTACTGTCAGCATATTTGTCAAGCACTGCCAGCAATTACCTTTTAGCGCTTTTCGTTCGTCTGCTCAACATTTAAATTTTATAAGCCTTTACTTATTTTATTGGCCACACGCTGTACCTTATGCAATATTAGACGCTGACGTTTAAGCGCTGACAAATGTGCCAGTCTGACTTGATAGTTTTCATTGTGCCTGTCAAGTTTTTATGTTTACTTCTCATTTTAGCTTTATTTTTTAATTTTTTTATTTTTTGTTTTTTGCTTGTTCCACTCCTTTTTATTTATTATATTTTCATCCTTGGCACTTTGCTTACCTCTTTGAGCTATTTTATGTTAACGCTTTCGTGCTGCCAACATCTACAGGTTTCAGATGACAATTGTGGCAGCTAGATTTTATGACACCTAYAGCTAAGTTGAAGGCGAAATGTTCGGAATAAATAACAGCAATAAATGAAAATGGAAATATTTAAATAGATAAAAGAGAAAATACCGTTAGTCGCACTTTATGATCACTTTTGTGTGTAAACGTTGCACTTAAATGCAAACTACCTCATACACAGGCATATAKAACTAACTGTTTGGTTTAGCTTGTGCTTCCTTTTCCACATTTTCCACTTTAGTGGTAGGGCATCTCAATTTATTGGCTGGGACCCTTGAAGTCGCTGTTGCTGTATTTTACTTTTATTACTTATTCTACTTTATTTGAACTTTCTTGATTTTCCTACAAAGTTTTACGACTTTGGTGTTGTGCTGCTGTGCTGCTTACTTTGTTATTGCTTTCAAGTCGCTTAATAAACATTTTTTGTGTTTACCCCGTCCATTTGTGCACTTTTATTCTGCGTTTTTGTTATTGTACTTGTTGTTTTAAAATTTAGTGCACCCCTCACTGACGCAAAAGTCAGCGAATGTCAAGCGCAGTCATAAATTCTCACCAATATCTTTCAGTGAAATCAAAAATAACAACAAACACAACGCCGCAACTATATAAAGCTCAACGCTTTCAATGTTTTATGACGCTTCACAAATTGCCGACACCGAGATCACCTGCATCACGCACAACTGTACATCTGTCAGGCATACAAAACGCTCACAAAATCGCGCACTCATGCTGTCTAACTGGCGTGTAAACGCCTAAGAAATTCCAATAGCCGACAAAGGCACACCACCGGCCACCGGCCACCGGCCACCCGCCAGCTGCCATCCACTCAATTGACTACTTCACCTGCTTTTGTAATAACTTAATTAACCTGCAGAATATTTCAATGACAAATTTGCTCCGACAACTATTTGACTTGTGACTTCGTTGGACGCCAGCGTCGGCGGCGGCTGACGCACCTGAAAGCTGCGCGTCCTMCCCTCTGCTAGCTTAGTTGGTGTTAGTGCTATGTGCTTGCCGGCGCACGAAGCGCTGACGCAGCCATTCAGCGTAATAAATCAAACTTTTCATAAGGTTGCGCACAATTAGGTTCA